CCCCGAAGGCCCCCCCCGGGGGCCGCGTGTCGGGGTCCTGGGCTGGGAATTTCGAGCCAGACAGTTCGGAGCCTATCCCGGCGCCATCGCTTACCTGCTTCTAGGTGGCTTCCGGGCCTCAGTTTCCCCATCCCGGAATGGGGACGAAGGACAGTACCTGCCTCACGGGGCTATTGAGGGACTTCACCGAGATCGTGCAGGGAAAGGGCTTAGAGCAGTGTCTAGCATATACTTAGCTTACAATCAATGCTAGTTTATGGCTAGCTACATTATCAAGAATTATTGTCCGCGCGCAGTGGCTCACGCCTTTAATCCTAGCACTTTGGGAAGCCGAGACGAGAGGATTGCCTGAGCCCACGGTTTCGAGACCAGTCTGAACAACTTGGCGAGACCTCCTCTCTACAAAAAAAAATTTAAAAATTAAAAAAAAATTAGCTGGGCCTGGTGTCGCGCACCTGTGGCTCCAGCTACTTGGAAGCTGAGGTGGAAGGATCGCCTGAACCCAGCAGGTCGAGGCTGCAGTGGCCGTGAGTGTGCCACTGCACTCCAGCCTCGGAGACACAGTGAGACTCCAACTCAAAAAAAAAAAAACAAAAAACCCCACGAATTGTTAATACTGATGATCTCTCATGGAGAAATAACTTTCCCAAATCAACTTAATTTCCAGAATTTTTGAGTGGTGCAGCTGAACGATTTCCATTTTCTCCCATTTGTATCTTGTTTATTTTTCTTTTAGCATAAAATATTTAAAATATTCAGGAATGTATAGAGATAGTATCATAAACAACCACCTACTGGCCTCCTAGATTTAATCTCTTAACCTTTGGCCTTATTGATGCAGATCATGATTGTGAAATACACAAACTTACATATATATACATATGCATGTATATAACAAAACATTTATATATATATTTGTTGCCCTTTTTTGAAATCTTCATAGACAACCACTATTATAAAAAGCAGATTTGTATCCTTTCATGGTTTTATTTACTGTGTATGTGTGTGTTCATAAGCAATGTACAGTATTGTTAATGTGTTTCTAAAGTTTAGATAATGCTAGCTTATTTAGATAATGCTATTATACTGTATATATCCATCTACAAATTGCTTTCACACAATATTGCTTTTAAGATTCTTTTTTCAGAGACTAGGTCTCTGCCATGCTGCCCAGGCTGGTCTCAAACTCCCGACTGCAAGCAATCCTCTTGCCTTAGCCTCCCAAAGGGATGGGATTACATACAGGTGTGAGCCATAGCACCTGGCCTGCTTTTGAGATTCTTATTTGCACATATAAACCTAGTTCATTCTTTTTAACACCTGTTTAATGAATATACTACAATCTGTGTATCCATTTTCCTGTTGATAGACATCTAGTTTATTTCCAACCTTTTACTATTACAGTGTTACAAGGCAGCTTCTCAGATTTTACTGTGCATACGATGCAGCAGGGGATCTTATTAAAATGATTTGTGGGAGTCTTAAATTCTGCATTCCTAACAACCTCCAGGTGTTGTGTATGTTACACTTTGAGTGACAAGAACGTCTTTGTGTCTTCTTGTGTCCAGGATATAAGTTACTCTGAAACATAGAAGCAAGATTTCTGAGGGGTAGGGTCATTTATATTTTATTATCTTCAGTTCTTCATCTGCAATTCCAAAATCAAAAAGTGTGTAAAGGGAAGAGTTTTGGTTTTTTTGAGTTGGGGACTCTTTAGCTCAGGCTGGAGTGCAGTGGCATGATCACATCTCAGCACAACCTGGACCTCCTGGACTCAGGTGATCCTTCTGCTTCAGCCTCCCAAGTAGCTGGGACTACAGGTGTGCACCACCATGCCCGGCTAATGTTTGCATTTTTTTGTAGTGATGAGGTCTTGCTATGTTGCCCTTGACTGGGCTAGTCTCAAACTCCTAGGCTCAAGTGATTCTCCTGCCTCAGTCTCCCAAAGTCCTGGGATTACAGATGTGAACCACTGTGCCTAGCTGGGAAAAGTCTTTTGTAAACTGGACACAAATACACTTGGGTGGGAAAAATCTAATCTGAACTGGTATGAAGGTATTAATATCCTTTCCCTTAGCCCTCTTAGGATAAAGTCTTATGTTATACTGAAAAATGTTAATCTGAATATGGGATACTGTCCTAGACTTGATTGTTGTTATTATATCTTGTAAATGCACCATATTAATTTTGAATTCTGAAACCCATCTGTCCTCAAAGGTTTTGGATAGGGACTATGGCTCTGTAGAGAAATTATTATCATTGAGGTAAACTTTTTTCTTTTCTTTTTTTTTTTTTTGAGTTGGGGTCTCATTCTCTTGCCCAGGCTGGAGTGAATTGGCACAATCACAGCTCACCACAGCCTTGACCTCCTGGGCTCAGGCTTGCCTTCTGCCCCAGCCTGCCAAGTAACTGAGACTACAGGCTCATGCTGTCACACCGCTAATTTTTGTGGGGAGACGAGATCTTGGTATGTTACTCAGGTTGGTCTTGAACTCCTGGTCTCAAGTCATCCTCCCACCTTGGGCTCCCAAAGTGCTGGGTGTGAGTCACTGTGCCCAGCTGAGATCAACTTTTTAAAAATTGATTTTAAGAAGTGTTCTAGTTATTTTTTCTACCATTTTATTATAAAAAATTTCAAACATATAGAAGTAGAAAGAATAGCATCGAGGCCACCTAGGTACCCTTAGTGCAGGCCTTTGGTAGAGACTGAAAGGCAGGCGCTTTGAGGTGGGGGGAACGTGGCACAAGGATTTATGCTGAACAGGTTGACCGAGAATATATATATTTAGCAGGTTATAGGAGGAACCGTGAATATTTATGAAGGATGTCTTAATGCACTCAGATACTTAAATGCATATATAACATGCATGAATAATATATAACTATATATTATGTAATATATACACTATATTACATATTCTATATTATGTATATACTATACTAATAATACATATATAATAACATGCATGCATGTTATATATATGACCAATGCTTATTTGGGGGTGGAGACTTAATATTTAAATACACTTTAAATATGTAATGAGGACCTACATGGCAACAGTTGAAGCAGGGACGTGAAGGCATTGAAGTGCACATCCTCTGTAAACCAGCCAAAACTGGTCTCTATAGTTGGTGGTCTTTTTTTTTTGTCAGAGTCTTCCTCTATCACCCAGGCTGGAGTGCAGTGGCACGCTCATAGCTACCGCAGCCTCTACCTGCTGGGCTCAGGTGATCCTTCCATCTCAGCCTTCCAAGTAGCTGGAACTACAGGTGTGTGCCACTACACCTGGCTAATTTGTTATTTATTGTAGAGATGGGGTCTTGTCAAGTAGCCCAGGCTGGTCTCAAACCCCTGGACTCTGGCAATCTTGTTGCCTAAATCTCTCAAAGTGCTAGGATTACAGCTGTGAGCTACCATGCTCTGCTCAGTAGTCTTTTTATCAAGAGGAAGTTACTGAAACCAGCCTCTTGTCTAATTAGTGCTGTAGTTATTATAGCTTATGGACCTGGGGCCTCAGTTAGTCAGTGTCTGTGGTTGATAAGTTGTAACTGTTTTAACATTGCTTATCTCAAGGTCAGTCTTGTTTAGCTGCTAGAGAAAGAACCTTGTTGCAGTTAGAACATAGTTGAAATTTTAAATGTAGGGGTGCATGGCTTAACCCATATCCAGCATGACCTTGTTTATAATTTAGTATCTTATTGCCACAAAGAGTTCATTCTGTCAGTCTTATGATCTCTATTTTAGCACAAATGTTGGTCAGTTGTTGCATCTAAACTGCGAAAGAGAAGGGGGTGTGTGTGTCTGACTTTCTGTCTCATCATGACTGGGAGCTCAGTTTTATTTTATTTTTTACCTTTTTTTGAGTCGGAGTTTCACTCTGTCACCCAGGGTGGAGGGCAGTGGCATGATTATGTTTCCCTGCAGCCTCCACCTCTCAGGTTCAAGTGATCCTCCTGCCTCAGTCTCTGAGTAGCTGGAACTACAGGCACATGCCACCATGCCTGGCTCATTTTAAAACTTTTTTTGTCTTGCTATGTTCGCTAGGCTAGTCTCAAACTCCTGGGCTAAGTGATTCACCTACCTCAGCCTCCCAAAGTGCTGGGATTACAGGCATGAGCCACCACACCTGGCCTAAAGCATTGGTTGTTTTTTTTGTCCCCCCCCCGAGTCTCACTCTGTGCCCAGGCTGGAGTGCAGTGGTGCACTCACGGCCTCCGCCACCTTGACCTGCTGGGCTCAAGTGATCCTTCCGTCTCAGTCTTCCAAGTAGCTGGAACTACAGGTACGTGCTACCACGCCCAGCTAATTTTTGGGATGTATTGTAGAGATGAGGCTTGTCTCGAACCTGTGGGCTCGGGCAATCCTCTCACCTCAGCCTCCCAAAGTGCTGGGATTACAGGTTTGAGCCACTATGTCCAGCTCAAGATTGTGTTTTTTTAAAAATAAAAATACATATGCAAAATTCAAAATTCAAAATATGCAAAATAGTAAAAATTCAGGTCTCCTTAATTAAGACCTTAATTAAAGTCTCCTTCCTGTGTCTGTCTCCCAGGTTAACTTGCTCTTTCTACCTAGAGGCAGCAAATTCTTCCATTTTCTTTTGTATCCTTGTAGGATACAAAGTTTTCTGCATGCAAAAACACAAACATATATATATATATCATTTAAAAACAAAGCAGGTGATAGTAAGTGTCCACATTTTAAGTTTCAACAGAAGCCACCAGGTTGCTTTCCAGAGGAGTCAGACCAATTTCCACCAGCAGGGTTTGATAAAATCTGTTTCTCTACATCATAACCCACATTTGATATTATAAAACTTGAAAAAAAATTTTCTCACTTTTTTTTTGTCTTTCTTTTTGAGACAAGGTCTTGCTCTCTTACCCAGACTGGGGTGCAATGGCACGATCAAAGCTCACTGCAGCCTCAAACTCCTGGGCTTAAACGATCCTCCCACCTCAGCTTCCCGGGTAGCTGGGACTACAGGCATATACCACCACACCTGGCTAATTTTTATAGTTTTTTTTTTTTTTTTGAGTTGGAGTTTCACTTTGTTGCCCAGGCTGGAGTATAGTGATATGCTCACAGTCACCTCAGCCTCAACCTGCTGGGCTCAGGCGATCCTTCTGCCTTAGCCTCCCTCGTAACTGAAACTACAGGCGTGTGCCGCCACACCTGGCTAATTTTTTTTTTTTAATTTATTGTAGAAATGAGGTCGTTCCACGTTGCTCAGGCTGATCTTGAACTCCTGGATTTAGGCAATCCTTTCGCCTCCTCCTCCCAAAGTGCTGGGATTACAGGACTGAGCCACCACCCTGCCACTTTTTTAAGCTAATGAGAATCCACCCCATCGCTAAAGATGTGTTCAAGGTTAGGGTCAAACTATCTTCTTGGACCTGGGGAGGAGCCTGGGGGCACCAGAACCCCGCACCCTGGGCTGTCCCCAACCTGGCAGGGGCCTCGGAAGCTCTCACCCAGTCACCCTATCTCTGGCTCTTGCAGATGCGGCCTAAAGTCATGTGGCACCTCCTCCGCCGGTACATGGCATCCCGGCTCCACTCCCTGCGCATGGGCGGTTACCTGTTCTCGGGCTCCCACGCTCCCCAGCTGTCCCCCGCCCTGATGCGGGCCCTGGGCCAGAAGTGCCCCAACCTACAGCGCCTCTGCCTGCACGTGGCCGACCTGACCATGGTGCCCATCACCAGCTTGCCCCGAACCCTGAGGACCCTGGAGCTTCACAGCTGTGAGATCTCCATGGCCTGGCTCCTCCAGCGGCAGGACCCCAGCGTGCTGCCCCTGCTCGAGTGCATCGTGCTGGACCGCGTGCCCGCCTTTCGCGACGAGCACCTGCAAGGCCTGACGCGCTTCCGGGCCCTGCGCTCGCTGGTGCTGGGCGGCACCTACCGGGTGACCGAGACCGGACTGGACGCTGCCCTGCAGGAGCTCAACTACCTGCAGAGGCTCGAGGTGCTGGGCTGCACCCTGTCGGCCGACAGCACCCTGCTGGCCATCAGCCGCCACCTCCGAGGCGTGCGCAAGGTCCGGCTGACCGTGAGGGGCCTCTCGGCCCCTGGCCTGGCAGTCTTGGAAGGCATGCCGGCCCTGGAGAGCCTGTGCCTGCAGGGCCCCCTGGTCACCCCTGAAATGCCCTCCCCCGCCGAAATCCTCTCCTCTTGCCTGGCCATGCCCAAGCTCCGGGTCCTGGAGCTGCAGGGGCTGGGCTGGGAGGGCCAGGAGGCCGAGAGGGTCCTGTGCGAGGGGCTGCCTCACTGCATGGTCATCGTCAGGGCGTGTCCCAAGGAGTCCATGGACTGGTGGATGTGACTGCTCTCTCGCTGGGCCCATGCAGTTTTCTGTTGAGCCCCAGACCCTCTGAGCAGCTCCTCGAAGAGGGCAGATAATCAGGCTTGAGGGCAGGTCCCGGTGGGGAGGAGCAAGACCTTGGGGACTCCCAGACTGTTAATTCCAGCCTCTGGGAGGCCAGATCCCACACCTGGAAATGGGGAGACCATAGCTACCTCACGGCTGTGTTGCAAAGCCTTACTCCAATAGCTCCCAACCCCAGAAGCCTCTCAGGGAAGGGTCATCCTCAGGGTTGTCCTCAGGGATGGGGGAATGCAGAAAGTAGGGGTTAAGAGCGAGGGGCCCATGGGGGGCCCAGCCCTCTGGAGGGGCCTGGAAGGACTAGCTATGCATGCGTGCCCACACGCTTGTACTCTGTGTGTACTCCTATACACACACAAGAGACCTAGGGAGACAGGGCAAGCAAGACTTGTGGTTTGATGGTTGCAATGTTCATAAAGGTTCTCAGCTGTATTTTGTATTCTGCATTTCCCAAGTTTTCCACTGCATAATCTTATTTTGCTATTAAAGAAAAATCACGTTTTTCAAAAAAGCATTCATTTTATTCATTCAACCAATGTTTCTTGAGCACCTACTGTTTTGCAGGCATGTTTCTAGATCCTGGGGCCAGAGCAGTGCACAAGACAGGCAAGACCCTACCCTGGTGGAGCTCTTAGAGGAGGGGACAGGCAGGTAAACACATTCCTATACTGATTTTGGAGACACCAGAGCAGATCACATGACTGGGACACGGCCGTCTGGTAGAGTGGGCAGGGCAGGCCTCCCTGCGCTGAGGTCTCAGAGGTGAAGAGAAAACAGCCCTGAAATAAAAATGAACTTGGCGTTTTCTAGCAACAGGAAGAATGTCGTATGGCAGAGTGAAGAGTGAGCAGAACAACTGGAAGTGAGGTCAGAGCTGAGCATGGCAGCTCAGGTCTGTAATCCCAGCACTTTGGGAGACGGGGGAGGATGGCTTGAGCCCAGGGGTTCAAGACCAGTTTGAGTGACATAGTGAGAGCTTGTCTCTACAAAAGTAAAAAAATTAGCTGTGTATGGTGATACATACCTGTAGTCCCAGCTACTCGGGAGGCTGCAGTGGGAAGATTGCCTAAGTTCAGGAGATTGAGGCTGAGGTGAACCATGATTGTGCCACTGCATTTCACCCTTGGTGAGAGTGAGACTATGACTCAAAAAAAAAGTTAGAGATGCTAGGGGTAAGAGCAGGCAGGGCCTTGCAGGTGGCTCTAGTTTTAGGAATTCAGTTAGTAGCAGCTTCCTTTTCTGCCTTTTGTGTCTGAACCACTTGAAAGATGCAGGTGTCAGACAGATTTTGAACCCCCTGACCACCCACCTGTGAGATGAGTTGTTTATGATCCGACTGGGTGGGCTCTGTGGGCTTCCCACCTGCCTGGTAGGCCAGGGTGCTTTTTCTGTGCTGGGCAGAACCAGGAGAAAGAGAAAGGGCTGGGCTAGGTGTGAATTTTTTTTTTTTTTTTTTTAGTTTTGCTCTGTCGTTCAGGCTGGAGTGTAGTGGCACGATCACAGCTTACTGCCACTTCCACCTCCTGGGCTCAAGTGATCCTTCCACCTCAGCCTCCCAGGTAGCTGGGACTATAGGCGTGCACCACCATGCCTGACTAAACTTTTTTGTAGAGATGAGGTCTTGCTATGTTGTCCAGGCTGGTCTCAAACTCCTGGGCTCAAGCGATCCTCCTGCTTCGGCCTCCCAAAGTACTGGAATTACTGGCATGAACCACCATGCCTGGTCACTTGTTTCCTTATTCCAAGCTCATCAGTCAGAGAAGAGCTGGAGATGTTCCTTCTATGCTTTTTCCTCTCAGGGTTGGAGCAGAAAGCTCCATCTGATGACATGAGGACTAGCATGCCCCTGATGTGGCCATAGTCAGGATCTGATTATCCAATGCTGAGACCAAATTTAGCAGCTGCAGTCCAGGACATCTGGGGGCTGAGTGGAGCCAGGCGGGACATGGGAATGGGAGATGGCTCAGAGCTGCTGGAGGCGGGGAGGGACGTGAGGTTTGCTGTGCTGGTGGGGGTGACTGGAGAGCTGGGGTCAGCATGGGGTAATGTGGTAGACGGCTTAATACCAGCCCTGTACTGAGCTCTGCAGGTAGTCCCGGGAGTGGACTGACGCTCCAACCTGAAGGAACTCCAGGGGCAAAAGCTTCCTTCCTTTTTTCTCCTTTCTACCTTTCTAGTAGAGGTGGAGCAGCAGACATTCATTTAGAGGCAGGGAGGCCGAGTGTGATGGCTCATGCCTGTAATCCCAGTGCTTTGGGAAGCCAAGACAGAAAGATCACTAGAGGCCAGGAGTTTGGGAGCAGATAAGAGGCTGGGAACTTCAAGGTTGCCCTCCAATGAAGATAAGGATAATCACAATAGCTGATATGTATTGAGTGTTTGTTATGTGGCAGGCACTGTGCCCAGTCATTCATGCACAGACTCCTATCAGCAGCCCAAAAAGGTAAGTTAGACATAAGGAACTGAGGCACAGGTTAGGTTTTCCAGAGCAACACAGCTAGTAAAGTAGGAGCACCTCAGTAGTTTTATTCCGCAATCTTAACCAGTGCGTGAAGCGCTCATGCTGCCACGCAGCAGTGTCTGAAATGATGGCCCAATAATGGTGCCCCATCAGGGACTGTGGAGGTAATGCTGACTCAATCTTGGATACTAATCTGCAAAATGCTCTGTTGTGTGTGTGTGTGTAGTGGTGGGGAGGGGGCTTGTTTGTTTTTTGAGTTGAACTCTCTGTCACCCAGGCTGGGGTACAGTGGCACACTCACAGCCACTGCAGCCTCGACCTGCTGGGTTCAGGTGATCCTTCTGCCTCAGCCTTCCAAGTAGCTGGAACCACAGGCATGCACCATCATGCCCAGTTTTATTTATTGTAGAGACGAGGTCTCGCCATGTTGCCAAGGTTGGTCCCGAACCTGCGGGCTCAAGCAATCCTGTCACCTTTGCCTCCCAAAGTGCTGGGATTACAGGCGTGAGCCACTGTGCCTGACTGCTTTTTTTAAAAATAGGGTTTCACTCTGTCATCCAGGTTGGAGGGCAGTGGCATGATCATAGCTTACTGTAACCTTGGATTCAAGGGCTCAAGTGATCCTTCTTCCTCAGCCTCCCAAGTAGCTGAGACTTCAGGGGAGCACCACCGTGCCTGGCTAATTTTTATTTTTTTGTAGTGGTTGGGTCTCACTATGTTGCCCAGGCTGGCCTCAAACTCATGGCCACCCCACTCAGCTACATGATACCTCTTAATTTCCCTTCTGAGTTTGGGATGAGGCACGAGAATCAGAGATGAAAATACCAACTTCATGACTGATGAAAGGTGGCTTGAAGGATGTAGCTAAGCTGAGCAGCCCCAGGAAGACTTCTGATATTTCAGTCTTAAATTTGCCAAATGCACTCCGGGATGAGACAGCTGGTCAACCACAGGGTTCTCTGCCTTGGATGCTAGCTGCATATCCCAAGCTTGATCAAAATAGCCCTTCTCTGTGGTCCCGCAGACTCCCAAAGGGAGAGAGAAAAAGTATGGACTGAAGATGCCCAGTCCCCTTTTTCATACCCACTAGTCAGATAAGGTGTGTGGGTGTGAGTGTGCAGAGAGGAAGGGGTCAGGACTGACACTGCAGCCAAAGTTCCTCCAACTTAGAAACAGGAACCCGGACTGGGTGTGGTGGTTTATGCCTGTAATCCCAGCAATTTGGGAGGCTGAGGTGAAGTATTGCTTGAATCCAGAAGTTTGAAACCAGGCTGTGCAACATAGTGAGTCCTAGTGTCTACAAAAAAAAAAATATTTAGCCAAGTGTGGTGGCACACACCTGTAGTCCCAGCTACGAGGGATGCTGTGGTGGGAGGATTGCCTTAGCCCAGTACGTTGAGGCTGTTGTGAGCTGTGATCTTGCCACTGCACTCCAGCCTGGATGACAGAGTGAGACCATGACTCAAAAAACAAACAACAGCAATAATAATAATAATGTAAGAATAGCAAGCATAAACACCGGTAACTACCCACAGGGCTGAGATGGAACCCCTAAGGAAGAGTATCCATCTTACCCCTAGAAAAGGTCAACAACAACAGCAACAACAACAACAAAACACTAACACAGAATCTGACATTTTTTACGTATTTCTTTCCTTTCGTTTTTGAGTAGGAGTCTGGAATCACAGGCATGCACCACCACACTTGACTATTTATTTATTTATTTATTGTAGAGATTAGGTCTCGCCCAGGCTAGTCTCTCGCCTCTGCCTCCCAAAGTGCCAGTATTACAGGCATGAGCCACCACGCTTGGCTTATTTCTTTTCTTTAAAAAAATTTTTTTTATTGAGACAGAGTCTCACTATGTTGCCCAGACTAGTCTCAAACTCCTGGGCTTAAGCAATCCTCTTTGCCTTGGCCTCCCAAAGCACTACGATTACAGGCATGAGCTACTGTGCCTGGCCCATCTTTACCATTAGAAAGTGTCTGAAGTCGGGCTCGGTGGCTCAGCCTGTAATCCTGTGCCTTTGGGAGGCTGAGGTGAGTGGATTGCCTGAGCTCGCGGGTTCGAGACCCGCCTGGGCAGCGAGACCTCATCTCTACAATAAACCAAAAAATCAGATGGGCATGGTAGCACATGCTTGTAATTCCGACTACTCGGAAAGCTGAGGTGGAAGGATCGCCGGAGCCCAGCAGGTGAGGCTGCGGTGGCCGGGAGCGGCCACTGCACTCCAGTCTGGGAGACAGAGCAAGACTCCAACTCAAAAAAAAAAAAAAAAAAAAAAAAAAGTAAGTGTACTGTTTAGGCCGGACATGGTGGCTCAGCCTGTCATCCCAGCACTTTGGGAGGCCGAGGAGAGAGGATTGCCTGAGCCCGGGGGTTCGAGTTCAGCCTGGGCAACTTGGTGAGACTTCGTCTCTACAATAAATCACAAAAAAAGTAGCCAGGCATGGTGGCATGTGTGTAGTTTCAGCTACTTGGAAGTCTGAGGCGGAAGGGTCACCTAAGCCCAGCAGGTTGAGATGGTGGTGGCCGTGAGTGTGCCACTGCACTCCAACCTGGGCAACAAGAGTGAGACTCCAATTAAAAAAAAAAAAAAAAAAAAAGGAAGTGTATTGTTCAGTGGTATTAAGGATATTCACGTTGCTGTACAATCAGTCTACAGAACTTTTTCATTCTGGAAACTGAAACTGTCCTAGCTCCCCATTCCTCCTCCTTAGTTCCTGGCACCCACTGTTTTACTTTCTGCTTCCTGACCCCTCCGAGGACCTCCTACAAGTGGGTTCATACTGTGTTTGTCCTTTCGTCACTGGTTTTTTTCACTGAGCATAACGTCTTCAAGGTTCACCCATGTTGGAGCATGTGTTAGAATTTCCTTCCTCTTTAAGTTGACTAGTGTTCCATTGTATGAACAGACCTCAGGTTATTTATCCATTCATTCATTGATGGACCAATTTTTCTTTTTTTAAAGTTAGGGTATCACTCTGTCCCCCAGGCTAGAGTGTAGTGGGTGTTATTCCGACTCACCACAGCCTCGACCTC